TTGAGACTCATGTATCCTGCTCTAGATAATCTCCTGGTAGTTATACTCTCCAGTTTTTCCTAACTAACATATCCAACAGGAATTGTTGGCTGGGAATTCTGGGAATGAAAAGTACAAAAAAGAAATGATTAAGTTTTAATGTGGTTTCTGGTTCATGAATTTAATTTAATTTAATTTAATTTAATTTAATTTAATTTAATTTAATTTATATGCCGCCCCTCTCCGAAGACTCAGGGACAGAATGTTTTCTTTGCATTGGGATATAGAAAAATGTAATTTCTCAAGTAATTCTAATCCAGAGAGGAATAACTATATTTAGTTCTCGTCCTGTCCTTTCATTCATTATTCCATTTAGTCCATATGTAGTCAAAACATTTTAGTACCTGCATTGTACCGTGTTTCCCCGAAAATAACACCCTGTCATATATTTTTTGAACCCTGAAATAAGTGCTTGGCCTTATTGCCATGCACTCAAAAGCCTGATTGGGCTTATTATCAGGGGATGTCTTATTTTCGGAGAAATAGGGTATTTGATTTTGTTCTTCCCCCCTCCTTACTGTTTGTAGGCATGACCTTTAATCTGTGATATAGATGTCTCTTTTATGTCTCATTTAAGTTTGATTTCATTTGCTATGTAGAATACCAGGTGGTGCGGTGGCTCAGCGGTTAAGATGCTGGGCTTGTTGGCTGGCAAGCTGGCAAGCTGGCAGCTGAGATTCGACACCTGAGCACCACATGAAGGGGTGAGCTTTCATCCTCGCCCAGCTCCTGCCAATCTAGCAATTCGAAAACATGCAAACGTGAGTAGATAAATAGGTACCACTTCAGTGGTGGGTTGCCCCAAGTTCGGATTGGTTTGCAAGAACCAGTAGTAAAACTGGTGGGAGACTCTGCCCACCATCCCAGATGTCATCATAGGTGAGCTGCGCATATGCAGAAGCTCGGTGTGCACGGGAGCGAAGCTCGCGCATGCACACGATCCCATTGCAAACCGGTAGTAAAGGTAAGTAGAACCCACTCTTGTACCACTTCAGTATGAAGGTAACAGTGCTCCATGCTGGTCCACATGACTGTGGAAATGTCTTTGGACAGCGTTGGCTTAATGGCCTTGAAATGGAAATGAGCATTTCCCCTATAGTCAGCAATGATTAGCGGAGTAAAATCCCCAGGGACTCCTTTACCTTTTTTACATTGAATAAAGCAGGTTGAAAAAGCATGAGTATCATTTCAGACATTGCTGAATTACATTTCCTAGCATGTCTCCCTATTGGACTTACTGGATAAGACTACTGAGAATTGTAGTTCAGAAACATTTGGCTGGCCACAGGTTGAGCACACTAGTATTACAACATTGTTTGTCTCTTTGAGGTGACTTTTAAATAAATCACTTTTTCCTTGTTTTTTTCCCTTGAGGAAGGGTTTATTGAGTTTTCATATCATAAAAGGTTGCCAATATAAATAATTTTCTGTACACTGAAAATTAAAATGAAAAGGTTAAAATCTGATAAAGTAACTGGTGACTGATTTACACCTAATCACACATTTAAGTTACTATAATGCACTGTACATGAGGCTGGCTCAGGAAATAACTCAGAAACAATAGTTGGTCAAAAATACAACATGCCTGATGCTAATGGACATAAAATATTGTAGCAGCAAAATATCAGATCTTTGGATAGATTTGCCCAAAGATTTCCAAGTTCAAACGGAAGTATGATTTTTCACCTGAACCCTGTATTGTTCAGGTTCCACATGTCTTTGGGACTGTCTGTCAAAAGTTAAAAGAAGAAATGCTTGGAGTTCTGTGCACATGAAAGGTAAAAGGGTCAGAATTGGAACCTAGAGGCAGATTCTGAAAACAATTTTAATTCAGTAGGCTTTTTGTAGAGGAACCCAGAGATGACCTTGGAGAAGATATGTGGGGATTGATAATAAAACATGAAGTCAACCTGGAAAAACACACAATTGATTTTAACCAAAAGGTTGAGAAGTGATACATATGTTCTTCTTGGAAAAACAAGAAAGGGTGAGAAAGAAACTCAACATTGGTCCACTTTGATTTTCTTTGGTATATGAGGAGAGAAGGGAAAATCCTTTAAACTTTCAAGATTGATGTCAGCCTGCTAAAAAAATAATAATGATGTGATGGAGCTGAACTTGGTCTGGTTTACCTATTAATGTAGACTTGCCCAATTTTTGTTTCCACTCCACGAGGTATAATGAGGATTGCACCTCAAGAACTGTAATTAAGAATAAGGTATGTACATATGGGGAGTGTATAAGAAACAAAGCATTTTATTAAAAATAATCCCTTGCAAATGTACATAAAGAATTAAACTAAAGAAACATAACAAAATTCTTAAATATATGTGTTTTTCTGAACTGATTTTAAATACAACTGCACAAACAAATGAAACATTTGTCCATATAAATGAAGTGTACTATATACATTATCCAAAGAACTGAAACAATAATTTGTGATACTAATTCTACTGATCCAAACAGGATTTTCTCTATCTATATAATGTATTTCCTTTTTGGTATAACTTATAGCACAGTAAAATATATTATGATTGAGATGTCACATGATGAACTATGCAGGTTTTATTTTAAAAATGAAAATTAAATATATGTACTGAGATAATCCAGAATCTTTCTTCTCTAATGTATAGTTTTTGTGACATATTGTTATATATTATATTATATAGCCTCATTTTACAGCATTTTATCGATGACTGAAAAGATAATCATCTCTGGATTTATTTTATATTAAATTACATGTCAATGATCCCTTGACAGCATTAATTTAATTAACATTTAGTTCTTCTATTCCTTGATTTTAAGATTTGCTCTTTCAGTTTGTAATATGAAATCTCCCAAAGCTGCTGAACAAATTGAGCTAGCTCCTGCAGAATCAAAATCTATATGTTCCACAGTTCATTTTAGTAGTATAATTATGGTATTTTATGAAAATGAAAGGTTATTATTCGATGTAGATGTTGTAAAAAGAAAACTAAAAATAAGCCTGTGTTTCTTTGGAATTTTATACAATATGTTTAGTGAGAGCTATCCTTGACCTTGGACACTGAATGATTATACCAAATAATATAGTGCTGTTAGAGTTTTTCAAATCACAGAGATACCTTTATGTGCAGTTTAGTAAAGGCTTAATTTAGATTTAGTGTGCTGTGTAGCTAATCAGTGGTGGGAACTTAACTGACAGCAATTTAACATGATTGGGGAAGGTAATTGCATAATTAGCAGTAGTGTTTATAAATGCAGAAGGATATTTTTATTGAGGGGAAAAAAACTAATTGCTTTCATACTAAGAAGGAAGCTAAATAAATAGGTTTGTTGTCACAGGTTAAGAGGATATGCTCTACTTGTTTAAGAAATATATTTATTTAGTGGTTTTGATTTTCTATTTTGTTTTAAAACCATATAAAGTAGACGGCTATGTAAATATAGCCAGTGTATCAAATAGTGGTTTTGAAACTTAAGCAGATCTCAACAGACACGGCTTTTAGATGATCCAGAAGATATTTGGATGAATTTTAGATTATAGACTGAATAATGATATTTTAAAGGCTCCTCCATGTAATGTTGCTTTGTCCCAAGCCACCATTTCCATGGTTCTTTTGCTTCCTATATTTCATAGTTTTCTTTGTATTGTTATATATGGAATTGTGATTAGCCAAAAAAAAGCTAGTTGCTGATTTCAGTATAAAACTCACAGACCATTCAGTTACTTGAGCCCTTTCAGACATCATTTTAGTCTCCCAGCAAAATGCCCCATCTACTGGCCAGTTTGATTATGTCAAAGCTACCCCATTTCTAAGTACTGTAGGTATTTTCAGTCCTTCTCACCATATTCCTATCAAAGGAGAAGCTCCCCCGCCCCCCCACTTTTGAAATGCACAATGTTGTTGACACTTTTCTCTTATTGGGAACTTCAGTAATTCTTTTCCAGCTCAGAGCCTGTTTTGTGGGAGAGATTTCTCAACTCAAGGAACTCCCATACAGTGTATAATTTGGCCAGACAAATGTAATAGTTTTAAGAATGGTTTCCCAGGGGTGTTTTCTAGCTCGTTTGGTCCAGTTCTTACAAACCAGTTGTTAAATTTTCTTTGGAAGAGCAGGGAGTCTCTCTCTCTCTCTCTCTCTCTCTCTCTCTCTCTCTCTCTCTCACACACACACACACACACACACACACACACACACACACACACACACACACACACACACACACACACACACACACACAAGAACCCTGGAGCCAAATACCTGAAGAAGCTCCAAGTCTCAGATGTAACTAAACTGCAGTCTTCCCCACTCATGATGGTGTTTCTGCTGCTAAGAGCACTCTTGGAAATGTAGTATTAGGGACAGCTGGACTTGGAAAGGACTTGTTTCCTCCTGGAAAACTGGTTTATTCCTTTTTCCTCAACGCTTTTCTTTGATATACTTCCTCCAAGAGTAGTTTTTTTTTCCTTGAGAAAGAACAGTTAAAAACACTTTTGTGGATGTGTGCAAAAGAGCCTTGGGATGTAGAATATATTTCTCCTCAGGCAGAGTAAAGAAATCCCTTGTAAATAAAGAACTTCAATGTGGAAGTACAGACTCATGTAAAATTTGTTCAAGTTTTGGATAGACTGATATTTTTTCCTCATTATCTTATTTGCTATGTGGTCAGAAAGCATATGTAGTATCCTTAAAATCATTTGCCAACCAATGAAATAATGAATACAGGAAATCCTAGCTCACGGGTGTCAAACTCAATTGCTTCACGTGATGTATTGTGATGTATCACAACGTTTTTTGCCTTTGTGGAGCCGGGCTGGGCACAGACTGTGCATGACACATCCGGCCAGTTTGACACCCCTGCTCAAGTTTATGTTCAGACCTGTGTATCCTATACTGTTTCTGCTTTTATGCATTGGTTTTGCTTAGTTTCATGCTCCGGTAAAATGTTACATGTCAGCTTTGTTTTTCTTGACTAGATGATCCAGTCACTGTTGGAGGCACATGGCCACGGCAAAATCACATGCAGTACATTGATCACCAGTCCAACCTTTGCCTAGAATGTGATCCCCAGTTCCTTCAAGAGATCCAACTTTATCTGTCTTAAAGAAGAGGAAGAAGGAATCATCTGAAATAACCAAGCATCAGAGCTTTAACACCAGAGCAGGTTCAATCCAAATTTATAAATCTCCTACATAATGACTTTTATTTGCAGGTGATCCTCGTAATCATATACAGTACATTCATTTCCTAGGAAGCCCCCAAATCTGTATTGCAACTGGAAAGTTATATGGAGATTTTCAATCATCCAGGTCATGGTTGTCCCAAAGGTGCTTTCTCAAGAGGCAACTGGAGTTTCTGGGGTTTTTTTTTTTTATTTGAAGATGTTACACTTCTCATCCAGAGCTGAAGAAGCTTCTTGAATGAGAAGCGAAATGTCTTCAAAGATAAAAAGTAGAAAGTCCAGTTACCTCTTGAAAAAACACCTTTGGGACAACTGGAAAGTTTGATTTCACTCAAGCATCTAGAAGCATATGAAATGTAGTTTCCTTGCACATTTTGTCCTTCACCACAAGGAAGACAGATTTGATATGGACAAGGCATTTGGAGTTTCACTTACTGGTTTAAGGACTGCCCCCTAAGAGACTAGCAGAGCCCACCCACAATCTGGAATATGTCCAGCTTTTTCTCTTAGCAGAAGGTGAACCCCTGACCTGGTAGCCCGAGGCAAAAGTGCTGCCTACTGAGCCACTGATACCATGCCATCAGCAAGTTGAAAGACCAGCTGCAGACTTCAGAGAGTTAATTATTTCAATGTGTAAAGAATTGTTCTTTACAGTTCACACAGATGGCATGACAAAATGGTTGTGTTGAATACACACACACACACGTGTGTGTGTGTGTGTGTGTGTGTGTATTAATATTAAAAATTACACTAATGATTTCTCAAGAACAAAAACAATGAATTTTGGACAAGGAAATGAACATTTTGATAATTCTGAGTTGTTTTTGTTTTAGTGAATCAGTATCAGTGCGCTGTACACGCTTATTTGAATATAAGTGTAATGATCTCAATGAGTTTTAATTCTGAGTAAACACAGGTAGAATTGCACTATAAATCTTGATAAAAGTGTCCTGCAGTTCTTTCTATTTTTATGGCAATGTACATAATCTTCAAAATTTCTGGATAATCTTTTTAGCTATAATCATTTAGGTAGCTTCCTATTCAGTAGCCGCAGAAAACTCATATACTGGATCTGGATCCAATTCAGCTTTAGCCATATAATGAAATCAAGGAAATAGTCACAACTGGCAAATTCCACTATTTTCAATTGGACTAAGCAGAGTCAGAGACACGCCCCCCCCTTAATATTTTTTAAATGAAAGCTAATTTAATTTATTTTCAGTGCTGAAATTGTTGACAAATTAATAATCATATAGGTTTTTTTTAAAGATAATATGATTATGGCCGCTTGACAATGTTATAAACTTTGCTGACATGTTTACACATGACAAAACAATGGCCAATTGTAGCTCTTTATTACCTCTATATAGTATGATTTACAACATTAGGAAATGTGTGAGTCAGTTTATCCCCTTCCCGTAAGGAGCTGAACACACAACAGACCTTGCTTTGAGATAGTTAAGAAACAAGTAAAAATATGCTATATACATTTTATAAACAAATAAATTTATCTTAATAGAACACAGGGCATCATTTTGCTCTGTAAAATCGTTAGTTTACAGATTATTTCATTTATTTACACATGGCAGTAATATCAAAATTAATCTTATAACATGAGACAAGCAATGTGTTAAGATATTTTGCTACCCCAATAATCATGGAGTACTTTCATCACGCTAACTTATGCTGCATACTGCAATAACTTTGTTTTATTTTTGGAAGAGAAAAATGATATTAGGATAAGGAACTAAAAGTAGTATTATCACTAATTTCTGTAGAATGTACTAATATTTTTGATGTGCTGTTGTGGACAGGTAATTGTATATGTTTTCCCTGTTGTGGTTATATCAGTGCTCAACAGTGCTTAAATACTTTCTGCACTATTATAAGCAACCCTAGAATACTGAGCCCACTAGTCTTGGATGCCAATGTGTATGTGGCTGGGAATGAGTTATATGAAACCCAAGTCTCCACTTCCTTACAATATAGTCTGAATATAGCTTCAAGTATTTGTTAAGCTTTTGAATGAAGGTAAATATGTGTGCCCTGGGATAATGTTGCAGGATCCAATCTGAGTCAGTCCAAAGTTTTATTCTTCCAAGCTTTTGGGCTTATGCTGGAGCTTATCATTGCTAAGATCTCCAGGGGCATTTTCTGGTCCTAAGTACTGATGCATCCTATCAACCACATTTCCATAATACGTTCTGATAAAAGTAATGTGAGATCAGAGATGGTATTCAGCAGGTTATGACCAGTTCTGGAGAACCGGTAGAAAAAATTTTGATTAGTTCAGAGAACCGGTAAATATAACCTCTGACTGGCTCCGCCCCCATCTATTCTCTGCCTCCCAGCTGATCGGGAGAAAATGGGGATTTTGCAGTAACCTTCCCCTGGAGTGGGGAGGGAACGGAGATTTTACAGTATTCTTCCTCTGCCACGCACACCAAGCCACACCCACAAAACTGGTAGTAAGAATTTTTGAATCCCACCACTGTGTGAGATTTGCATGAATTGTCCTATTCAGAAGAGAGACAATGATAACAACATATTGTAATTTTTATTCTCCATAATGCTACCTGTAAATTGGGGAGTTAAAGTGCAGATGCACATTATATAAAAATGACACGAATATCTAATACTAATAATGACAGTATAGAGTATACTTTTCAGATGATAGAGTTGTCAGAAGGGTGAGGATAAAAATCTTGTAGTTAGGCTTCAGCTTGTCCTTACACTGCCTCTGTCCATAGTTCTCTTGAGATTATCTACAAAGAGGCCATTTGCAAGGTAATTTTGACATGTTCATTTCTCCACTAGAAGGCTTCTGGAATCTATTATGAATTTTGAATTGATGTCACAAACAGTAACAGATGTTGCACTCCAGGTGGGGGTTGAAGAGGGTTTTTTTTTTTTTTTTTTGTCTTTTCTCCTGCTTCATAACTTACCTGCCTGAGGAACAAGCATTTTGCCTGCTGTTTTGTCCGTTTCTTTATGGGTTAGGCAACTTGGTGCCCTTCAGATATTTTAGATTATTATTATCTATTCCCATTGGCCATGTTACATAGGCTTTTGAGATTTAGTCCAAGGTACCCAGAGAATACCAAATTGCTTTGTGGTGTTTCAGCTGCTCTTCCATAGAAAATATTGGAAAACTAGAATATTCATTTTTTGAAGACAGACATATGTCTTTTGCAAGCATCGTTTAGATCTGTGTGCACATGTTCCAGTATTCTAGCTCCTGTGGTTAAGCCAATTTATTTTCTTTTTTCTTTTCAAGTGGCAAACATGTTTTTGACAAAGGTTTTGTAAATAAATAAATAAATAGCTAAGGTGATTTTGAATATTTAAAATGATAACTTTGGGCTGAAGCTGAAGTCTTTTGTGCTCAAATCCTGATGGATTCACAATTGGCTGACCAACCTCACCCAGTGTGTAGTCCTCAACTACATCTACATGGAGGGAAGCCTGCAGTGGGGTACCCTGAGGGTCTATTTTGGGCCTAGTGTTCTTCAACATCTTCATAAATGATCTAGATGAGTGGATTGAAGAGGCACTTATCAAGTTTGCAGATGACCCCAAGCTGGGGGAAATTACTAATACTTTAGAATATAGACTCAAGATTTGGAAGGATCTTAACAGACTTGAGCATTGGGCTCTATCCAATGAGATGTACTTCATCAGTGAGAGAAGTAAGGTCCTAACGGAGCAGGAAAAACCAGATATATAAGTAGAGAATAGGTATTACCTGGCTCAACAGCAGTGTCTGTGAGAGGGATCTAAGTGTCCTCATGGACTACCACTTAAGTATGAGTCAGCATGTGTGGTAGCTATCAAACAAAAGCCAATGCAGTCCTAGGCTTCATCAAGAGAGGTATAATATCAAGACCACAGGAAGTGATAGTACCACTAATATATATCCAAGTCTGGTCACCATGATGCAAAAAAATGTTGAGATGCTAGAAAGTGTATAGAGAAGAGCAACAAAAATTATAAAGGAACTCGAGGCTAAATTAGTTGATGAATGGTTGAGGAGGCTACTGTAGGTATGTCTAGCCTATCAAAGAGAAGGATTAGGGGGAACATAATAACTGTTTAGTTCTTGAGGGGCTGTCACAGAGAAAAGGGGATTGATTTATTTTGCATAGCACCAGAGTGCAGGACATGTTAAAGAGAGATCCAACCTAGATGTAAAAAGAAATTTTCTGACAATGAAAACAGGTACTCAATGGAATAGCTAGTCTTCCTGGATTGTAGGTGCTCCATCACTGGAGGTTTTCAAAAATAGACCAGACAACTATTTAATTGGGATAGTGTAAGGCTCCTGCCTTGAGCAGGGGATTAGACTAGAAGCCTTCTAAGGTCCCTTCCAGCTATATGAGTCTATGTCCTATGTTCTAAGTTCAGGTTCCTACTTAGCACTAAACTCATTAAGTCATCTTGATATCTCAGATCCACTTGCCTCTCAGGATGACTATGGAGCTAAAAACACAGCTTCATCTCTGGTGAAAGTACAGCAGAACAAATACAACTAGAGGATTTATAGGGTATGATTTTAAAAAGTGAAATGGTGGCCCCCAATAGTTCAGTCAAAGCCACTTTTGTATGTTGCAGAATGCAACAATAATATTTAGCAATGCTCTTAATTTTTTAAATTTATGGGTGGTTGATATTCTCACACTGGGTTGGACTAGAACAGGGGTGGGCAACTGTGGCCCTTTTTTCAACCTGTGGACTTCAACTCCCAGAATTCCTGAGCCAGCTTGGCTGTATCAGGAATTCTGGGAGTTGAAGTCCACAGGTTGTAAAAGGGCCACAGTTGCCCACCCCTGGACTAGAAAACCTCCAAGGTCCCTTGCAACTCTGTTATTCTATTCTATTCTATACTGTTATTTGTTGAAAACCAAGATATTTTCCTAGCGTGCAACTCTTGTTGGTGAATAAATGTATGACTTGAAGAAGCACTTCAGTGTGACCCTAATAAC